ATATTAATTGTTCGGCTAATAAACTATTAGCACGACAATTGTTAGTAGTTCCTACTACTAACTCTCCTGCAAAACATGTTTTAGCATTTTATCAGTTTGTTTATTACAAAATTAATTAAAACATTAACCGACGTGGTTATGAGATTAATAAATTCTCTCTGTATATCTATATCTCAATCATGTATTTAAGCATAATATTTTGGTCAGTATGAAAGCAATGTTATTTCAAAAAGGGAATCTATTTCATATATAGGCTTTACACATGCTCAGCCATCCATCGAGTCTGATTCACTCTGAACTCAATGCTCCCGCGTGCTTGCTCACAATAGTTTTATTATTATTATCGTGTTGATGTACTTCACTTCGTCCCAAGTTTGGCATACGTAGGTTTGCATCGATAATCGTAATACGTTATTCAAAGAGATCCCTTTATGGGGATAAATGTATGTGTGCTGTATGGTCATTCAAAGTTGTTTAAATAAGTAAAAACAATCAGTTACGCAAATATTCAAGAAATGTACGCAACAAAGCGAATAAATACAAAAGGTGTGAAACATAATAAAAACACGAACTGATTCCTAAAGAATACTAGTACACTTTATTACATGATATCTGATTGTACTTTCATTGCGTTTACGGAGAACGAAATAAAATCTGGGCTTGGAAAGAAATAAACTGTAAGAAGAAAGGGTTGATACGTAGGGTCCGTACGCGGGCTGAATAGTATTGACAACGTTGATTTGCTACGTTGCTATCTGCATACTGATCAGGGGCACCCGATTGAAATGAATTGACTTAAATTTTTGGACTAATTGCTCACCCTCTCTATTATTGACTCGACGTTCTTGTTAAGCTTTTAAATTTATGGTATGTTTTATTTTTCTGTAATTCAATTGCAAACATGATTTTAAATAGAAATTAGTTTACACTATTGAAATAAAGTTTGCTTAAAATGGCTGGACGGACTTTGATGAAATTTAGTATTCAGAAGAACAATCAATGACTTGAAATAACTTATAGCATAGGCACTAGTAGACACCCGAGCAAAGTGAACGGTAGTCCCTTGTCTTATATAAAAATCCCAATATTTGTAATTACCAATGACTCATAGTATATATAAAAATGGTTTTATTGTATTAAAAATCACAGGCTCGCTAATTCACTTATAGTAAGAATTCATGTACACTCAAACCACTAATTCAACCACCAATAGCGCACTACATCCACTTTTTATTTCTATTACTTCCCTGTTTCTTCCTTCGATCACTACATCGATGTACTCCTCTCAGTCTTTATATAATTTCTAAGTCATTTAATATAAAGAATAATCTAGTAATAGACACTTCTATTACTCTACTACTTCTATTACTATCCTTGAATAAATTGATTTGCTATAATTGATATTGTTAAAGATAATAAACTTAAGATTATATTGTAGTAATGATATACTCTGATTATTTCATTGACTATATACCTAGTTACTTATCTAATATTGTGTTATTTACATAAATACATGCTCATTTATACGTTTATTAGCATATGTATGTATGTATGTTTCATATTACAGTTGCAGTGCGTGTGCGCATGCGTACGTGCGTGCGCGCGCGCGAGTGCGTGTGCTTTTGCGTGTGTGTATGTGTAAGTCTTAACTATCGAAAACTAGTATAATGTTTATAATTTTTTTGAAAAGTTAACTATTATATTGCTGATATTAATATCATTATCACTAAACATTTAAGTTATTACTAAATTGGTGCGTATAGGGCGTATACTATTCGCCACTTAGTTGCTGAGAATGAGTTATATTTTTTACGAGAAAATGATGTTAATTCTGTTTTAAGATTTTCTTTTTGTTCTCTTTGTTGCTTCTTGAAGTTCACTCAATAATTCCTAAGTTAGGTAAAATTTATAGGGACAAATTTAAGATAACGATATATGTTTAACCTCAGTCATGTAGTGAGGGTCGCTAGTAAAGAAACATTAGGCCCAAAGTACCGTTAGCATTCCTACAGTTTCATTTAAATCGATTTATCTATATTGTTATTTCTATTGTATTGTTTTGTGGTATTATTGTTAATATTATATATTAAAAAAAATCGTATTATTACATCGGTTACGCTCATTCATATAGAGTTAATTACTTTTTCCTGGAGATAGCCAAAATATTAAAATCAATGAACAAATATTTTCTATCAGTTTGAATTTAACAATTTTATTGTGATTTTTGAAACAATGAAACTCATGTATTGGAAATAGTAAAATCTAAATATGTTATTTTTAGTGCGCTCGGATTTCGCGTAACTCAATAAACTTTATCTATTAAAACATTTCGCAATTCGTATTATGTAGTTACTAACAACTATCGAGCTTTGAAAGTTTTGCTGAATTTGGAAGGTATTGTTTTATATATAAAGCTTGAAGCATAACATGTCGAAAGTTTTATTTAATGAAGGCCAGTTTGTGTTGCAGGTAATTGGAGGTAACACGTTATATATGTAGATATGTATTTTAGTAGTGGCTTATATCATCGTTTGAGTATGTTCAAAGTGGCCTATGTGCTACTCCAGGTCATTGTCTGCATATATGAACGTGGTGTGCGTAAATAAATGTATTTCCCAAAAAAACGCCAGTCTCTTTGTGTACTAAATTTAATCCAAATCCGTCCAGCCATTTTAGCGTGAAGGGGTAACAAATATACAAACACGTACACACACAAATACTAAGTTTCGTATACTCCTAAAATATTTTAAATTAACATTAGATTCACATGGAATATCAAATAAGAATAAAAATGAATATTTTTACTTTTTTTCGCAAATCAGTTGGTATGGTGTGGAAACAATTTAAACATACCTATCTATATAAAGTACACACGCTGGTCAGATGTTGTTACACAATTAAGGGGACGCGTACCCTCTGTCCTTTCCTCTCCCTCGGCACTACAATCACGAAATGCTTTTATTTTTTCAGCGCTACACGTTTATTGCCTCATCAGCGGTGGTTATGGTTCAGAAAACTGTAATTTACTCACGTAGGCTGCAATCCCTATGTGAAGTTAACCATTTTTTAAATAAATTTAAATTAACAGTACCTATCGTTTTAATTATTATTAAAACTTTTTTAGCGTTGACTGTAACTCTTTTTTTTTAACGTTGGGAAATGCGTTTACGCACGACGTGTGGGACTCACCGGCGTAATACAGCCAGTACTACCCACTAAAACCCAACAAAACCTTCCCCCGTCTTAATGGGGCGTCGCAGGTTCGCTTACGCATTCAACTACGACGCCCCGACGGCAGGTCTGCCAAAGCAGACCACCACAACCATGGGGTTGCTCCAAGGTCCACTCTGCTATCAGAGAAGTACCAGGAGCAACCCGCAAGGTACACCGCCCCCCGAAGAGGGCCGCCTCTAACCGCCCACCGAAGTGGGCAACCTCCCTGTGCGTTTCTTAGCTTCGCCCCCGGTTGGATTGCCGGGCACTACTGAGCCCCCCCACCACGACAAGGCGAACGCACGTTGGGGGGGGGGGGGGGCGTTGACTGTAACTCTGAGTTGGAATGTTTTTTATCCCCGTTACGAGGAATTGAAAGTCTTAGTTGAAAACGGCCATCAGGTCATGAATATATTCCGTAAATGCAAATCATTTGCTATCAGTTAGGGTTTGGGTCCCGGGACGTTTCGTGTCTCGAGGTCCTGGGACTTTTTGTATATTTTGTTGTCTCGGGTCCCAGGACTTTCGGGTCGAGACTCGAGACACTTTTTTATTACGAATTTGACTAAAACTGCACTTTTTGCGGAAGAACTGTATTGTAGATTTTTGAACATATCCCTCCTTATCCAAACGCCAGAATTGGAAATAATGGACGCCGAACCTAGTATGTATTAGTAACTCGACTAATGTACACAACGAACACGACGAGTCGTTTCAAAGTCAAATGGAACAGACAATAAAAAAACCCGAAAACGTACCTGACATTCTAACAAAAAGGTCAAGGGCATTATTTAAAAACGAGTTGCAGTTGTTTGAATCATTTTTAAGTTTGCTTTATTATTGCTTAATTATAAGATTTTACTGCCAAAAACTGAGTTGTTGACCATAAGAATTAAATATAGAAATTGTTTACAGTATAAATATCGTTGTTAGAATTTGAAACATAAAATATATTCTATAAATGTAGATTTTTACTAAAATTGCCTTATTTATTGTCATCTCATCACATCTCGTTAAAAATAATCTAATTTTATTCTGAAAAGATCATAAGTCATTTCTTATTGTATGATGTCGTGGTTATTTTTCTGTATAGACGCCATGACAGACCTAAAAATTAAGGTATACTGTAAAAAATGGACCAGTTCTTAGTGATTTGCATCCAGATCCCTGAGTTTTTAAAAGAGAATATATAATTTTTAGTAAATAACAATCATCTAAATATACAAAAAAATAAAATTGAAGTGTCTGTTCGTAGTGTCAAAATAACAACTTTTACTAATATCTTTTTTTACTAAAATTGCTTTATTTATTAGTAAATCAGTTTGACACAATTATGAGTAAAATAAAATGTATAAATGAAGTATGAATTTACTTAAATTAATATACATACTTTAAAGTTATAATTTTGTGTGTTCGCTCGGTTGTTCGTTTATCCTTCTTGGACGTCGAAACAAAGTTACAGAGTGGTGTTAGTTTTTGTGTGGAGATAGTTGGAGGGCTGGAGAGTGACATAAGCTACTTTTTACCGCGGGAGATTATCTCATTCCCAAGGGAAAACACGTTATAATACAACCTTAACCAACTCATCATATCTATCTATATATATATATATATATATATATATATATATCTATATATATATATATATATATATATATATATATATATATATTGATATGAGAAGTTATATATTAGTTTTGTAAAACAATTTCAATCTAAAATTATATACGAGTATGTAACAAAATTTGAAGGATCTATGAGTATTACTGCTGTTTGCGTAAAATTTATCTGAAATATGTAAAAAGAAATAATTATAAAAGAATACGTGTAAAGAAAGATATACTTACCTATTTAAATAAATTAAAACAATACACTTGTTTTCATATCACATTTTTAATAATACAATATATTTTATATACAAACATAAACTTAATACACTAACGCACTTATATGCATTAGATATGTACCTATATCAATATTCACTTTGATTTCTTTAAGATTTACATTATAAAGAGGGAATGTTTATTTTAGTAGGGGAGCCCAAGAGGGGATTTTCTGTAGTTACTCGAGCGCGGCAGATTAACATAAAAGAGGTTACCTTGCACTCTATTGAGTACTTTCACCACAATATAAGTCTTCTATATAAAGGGGCGCGTCTAGGGAAGCCGATTAAAATATTTAAAAAATGTTTTGATAAGGTAAAAATACTTGAAACCGTCAGATTAAGGTGTGGTAGGCTAGTCACATCCTGAAAAGTGTCCAATTTAATAATCTGCCGATTTGCACAAGCCTAAGAGGCAAAAATCATCATAAACTTTATAGTCGATTTTTGCCTCTTCGGCTTGTGCAAATCGGCAGATTATTGAATTGGACACTTTTCAGGATGTGACTAGCCTACCACACCTTAATCTGATGGTTTCAAGTATTTCTACCTTATCAAAACATTTTTTAAATGTTTTAATCGGCTTCCCTAGACGCGCCCCTTTATATAGAAGACTTATATTATGGTGAAAGTACTCAATAGAGTGCAAGGTAACCTCTTTTATGTTAATCTGCCGCGCTCGAGTAACTACAGAAAATCCCCTCTTGGGCTCCCCTACTATTTGTGCATTTCCTAAATAGAGCTTCTAAGTCGTTTCTAAATTTTTAGTTAAACTAAAAATAACGTACATATTATTAGCACATAACAAAATAATACATACATACATTCAGGAAGTGACTTTGAACAAATAATTATGTCACTATTATAGTTACTGAGGCAGAGTAAATATTGTTATTAAACGATTAACACTTAAATTGTATAAACATATATGTGTTTAACTTAAACTTAAAAATTGTGGTCAGCAATTAACATCGAAGGTCGCGTGTTTGATTCTAGCTTGGCATAAATTTGTATATAGCTTAATTAAATAGATATATTCTTGTGTATTCAGTAATACAACACAGACAGCGCAATATGGAATTCGGGATATTTATTCTCTGTACGATCAATAACTAAAAAATATATTTCCTATTACATTAACTTACATCTAAGTAATTTATTTACAAGTATTAATGATCATACGCAAGGTTTTCGAAATTCTGGAACTAGGGCAGTTATTTTATTTAGTCTTAATTTTTATTTTAATAATATTATTAAATTTCGAAATTATGTAACATATCACAGATATAATTACTATTATAATAGCTAAGAGGACTGCCAAGACAAATAATATTAAATCTAACTGATAATACTCAGTCCAGCTCATGTTAGCTATCGGGGACCTTAGATGGTCGCCGCCAGTGCGCAGCACGTGCTCTGTCCACCATACGGCGCGCTCCATCGGAGACTCCTTCTGGTCACGCATCAAGTTCCTTAGTTTTGCCGCATTGTCGCGATAGCTGAAATATTAAAGAAAACTATTATAATTCTATCGTATCAGTGGTCGGCAAGTATGACTGCCGTTAAAGCAATTGAAATCGTCTAGCTCTTAAACATAATATATTATTATAAAAAAAAAAAAAACAATTAAAGACTCTTGATTTTAATTCAACCTATCTTTTATAATTAAACTCATGTACGTATACAGGTTTAAAGGTTTTTTTCCTTAAGGATATATTATAATATAAGGATATAATTTATTAAAATATATTAAAATAAAAAAGGAAGTTTTCAAACCTTTGATAGTTATTGAAAATTGTCTCAATGGCACTCTTTAGGCTATGTTCTGTGAGAGTCTCTAGAAGAACTTTTATTCCCATTTTATGTATTTGGCACATTTCAGCATTGTACCACTGGTCCCAAAGCATAGGTATACCAACTACTGGCATTCCAGCTGTTATGGCTTCGTCAGTTGATTGTAAGCCCGATTGTGTGATGAATAACTTAACTTTTGGATGCCCTTCAAAAATATTAGTTTTTTTTAAACATATTATATAAATTAATTCAATTATTTATCAAATATTAATAGAAAATCAAAACGATAGTGTCATTGAGTGAATAGTACTTACTTAGTAAGTCAGACTGTGGGAACCATAAACCAATTTTGACATTTTTAGGACAGTCTGGGTAATCTAATACATCCCATTTCCATAAAATATCGTACGGTAATTCAGAAAACACCTTTGTAAATATCTTAAGCTTTTCTGGAGGTAATAAAGATGGCCTATTATTTGTACCAAAGCTCACGTAGATCACGCCATTCTTAGATGAATCAAGATATGTTTTTAAATCCTGAAAATATAATAATAAATTATATAATGGTACTTTAAAAGATATTAAAACACTATGCATAAATTGTTATTATTAATAATTATTATGTAGAAGTACTATTAATTTTTTATTTCAATGGTACGCACATTTAGAAAAAATAATATTTTGTACCTTGCCTTGATAAAATAGTAAAGCTTCAACAGATAAGTCAATGACTATCTAACCCTTACTGTTATATGTGTAAGTGAGTGTATGTTTGTCCAAATATTTATTTTATATTACATAAAATTAATAATGCTTAAATTCAGAAAATGGCAATTATCGAAATCAGTTCCTTACCTGGGGCAATTCTTTTACTGGAGGTAGATGCGTTCCACTTCCTCCTAAATATAAAACACTAGGTGGCACAGGACGGTTTAAATCCCAAAGCGGGTGTACGTTTAAAAACAACATTTTTACATTAGCCTTTAAAACACTTAAGTCTGGCATATCTTCTCCAAAGACTGTCCTCAACATTTGGTTTTCCTCCTCTTCTAGCACACTATAATGATAATCAACATAAAAACGTGTATACAATGCGTCTATTTTTTCCCATAAAGTCATATTCTGAATTCTTTGTGCTACTGATATAGGAAATATAAGGGGATGCGTTACGGCACCAATCATTTCATAGGAACCATGTTGTCCGTCCATAGTGCTGTAATCAATAACTGGCGCTTTGTATAAATGTGAAACAGCAATTGCAGGTCTGAAACAGCTTTCAGTAAATATTAAGTCAAATGTAATATTTTTGTTATTAAAAAGTTCTTGCACTTGCGGAGATTTCATTTGCACTATAAAGTATTCTGCGAATTTTCTGTAAACTCCCATTCCAATTTGTTTAAAGTCTGTTACTCTTGCTGCATTTTGTTTGAAAAATGGAGTGTGTAAATTGTAAGATATATCATGGACGTCAATTTCTGTTAGGTTCGGTGGAGTTTTTCCTTTTGGAAATGCTGGATCCGGTGTTATAACTACGACTTCATGCCCTCGTTTAGCCAGCTCGGCCATAAGAGGACGGAACACTACTTGATGGCTAATAGAAGCTGTTGGAAATACCCCTAAAATTCTAGCTGAATCACAAGTAACTATTACAAATAAAAATAATATTAAGACTTTGTTATCCATTATTGCAAAAAATTACTAACAAACTACTCCCGAACGACCGCCACTAACGCCGAGCTTGAAGTGAACTCGTTGAAAATGAAGTAATCCATATATAATATAACGCACAAAAGTTAGCGCTCATTACTATTATTACCATAATTGAACTAATGTTATCATATTTTTAGGGTTCTCCATTTAGACCGGTAAAACAGATATCACAATTTGTTTGAAATAAGAAAATATATAAGACCTTTTTTATATCTAATACATTTACATTCTAACTGGACATAAATACATTATAGTTTTAAAATGTTTCGAAAACTTATCTTGCTATGTTTTGTGACTAAGCCGATGCGACAGTTTTGAGATGATTTTACCCGACTGCAAGGAAAAGGCATAACCCTTTCGCGCCCATTTTTGTATATTTATTTGTAATATTCTTTATACCCTCATATCTTCGAAACCATTCTGTGGATTTCTTTAATTAAGGTATCGTTAGATTTGTCTCATTAATTCAAGTGTTCTTAGATAGGTGACATAATAAATAAATAAATATGGGGGCTGGTAGATTGATGTGAAAAAGAAAAATATGAAAATCAACGAACTATGTCAAGTGGGGTATCGTTGAATAGGTATTTAAAACATTTTCAACCGACTTCAAAAAGGAGGAGGTTCTTAATTCAACTGTATTTTTTTGTATGTTTTTACCTCAGAACTCCGTCATTTATTAACCGATTTGGACAACTTTTGTGTTGTTTGAAAGTGTATACTTCCAGATTGGTTCCATTTGAATTTCAAAAAAAAATACCACCCCTAAGGGTGGAAAATAGCTAATGATGAATTTAACCTACTTCTAATTGTCATATTGACTTGAAACTTTGCAAGTGTTTCTATTTCCGTTGATAGTACAGTGGTTCGGTATTGTTGACCTAATCTGATGGTAAGGCCAGAAGGTGGATAGGTGGAACTCTTCAACGGCTAATAGTAGATACTTTGAGTTTGGGCTTGTTTTGTTTGTCAAATCAGCCTAATACGTTAGAATTCTTACTTTGCTACTACTCTCTACACTAAAAAGGAAAAAATAAAAACTTTTTAACAAAAAAATAAAAACCGACTTCAAACAAAAGCACTAAAAAGTAAAAAATAACTGATTGGTAATTTTCATTTACTATACATACCTAATGAAATATTTTCGAAGTCCGTGTGCTTTGGCTAAGTAATTAAAGCCTACCTATTAAATACATACCTAATCAAATATTTCCGAAATCGGTGCCAGCCCATATAAAGCAAAGTACACCGACTTCGAAAATATTTGATTAGGTATGTATAGTAAATGAAAACTACCAATCAGTTATTTTTTACTTGTTAGTGTTTTTGTTTGAAGTCGGTTTTTATTTTTTTAGGTTTCTTTTATCATTTTTTTATTTTAAATAACGGTTTAGGAAATATAATGATTTAAAGTTGGTTAACAACCATTCTCGCTAATTTTCCTACTTAAAAATACTTAAAAAGCTGTAAATAAAGAAATCTATTACGTGGTTGTTATAAAATTATCATCTTAATAATGTACGGAACCATAATCTATTAATAAATTATTCTGTATTGTATTTTCACAATATTATACTAAATAAATATTTCAATATGTAGAAAAGATATAAGAGATATAAAAATATTAGAAAATATATACGCTGCACGCGCACAGTTCGTGCATATTTTTTTTATTATTTGACCGCGTCGACACGACGGAAAAGAATGTAGTTACTGTGTTATATCAAACATATTATCTTACATTTTAATCCATGATAAATAAGTTTTGTATACATTTAATTGACGTCAGATTGTTTTTTTAGTATGTACTCGTAGGACAATAATGGCCATGTCAAGTCCGTCTACCTACTGTTTTAGTTAATATTTTTCAATAACCCAGAGACGATATATTCTTTATTCAGGATAGAAAGTAGCCTATTTAGCATAAAATATATCTATGAATATCTTCATTGAAAGACAGTAAAAACGTGGCAAACTAAAGATCACAGCCAACTTCGCAACCAATTAGATTATTAGAGACTGTAAGTTTATCTCGGTTCATTATTATTTACAGACATTTATCTACAATGTAACATTTTAATGATTACTTCATCATAACGATTAATATGAAAACTAGTTCTGTAACCGCTCTGGACACGTATTTATATTTAGCTTAAGAATTTAATGTGCCAATAATCCATATTTAGTATTATAAATGCGAAAGTAATTCTGTTTGTTTGTTATTTTATTTGTTTGTTTGTTCGTTAGTTCTTCTGTTACGGGATTTTAATCAAAGCACTTTTAAAAAAAATATTTTTATTTATTACAATTAATTACAAATTAATTATGTGCAAGTGTCGCTGGATGCAGTTGGAATAGAACTAATTAGAGAAACAAAAGGTGTAACCTTATGCTGACTATGCAGCGTCTCTTGCAATTTACTTTACAAATAGTTCGTTCGTTCGTCTTTCGTTCGTTTGTTCTTTCGTTCTTTTGTTCGTTCGCTCGCTTCTTTGTTTGTTTGTCTGTTGTTATTACCCTTTCACGACTATACGGCTGAACCGATTTAGATGAAATTGGCATGGAGATAGTTTGAAACCCTGGGAATCTGTAGAATAGTTTTTATCCCGGAAATCATCCCATAAGGGGGTGAAAAGGCAGGTAGAAGTTTGTATTGGGAGTCAAACATTTCTCAAGTAAGGGATGTTAAACTCATCATACTTATGTATTATACAGTCTATCTATACTAACCGTTAAAATGTACCTATCGCTAGTTTAATATAATTTATAAAGACAGAAACCCTATGATGCAATGATATAAAATTAGCTTATGCTATACTCTAGCCTAAAATAATGTATTTAATACTATTTAACGTCCTACTACTGGGCACGAGCCTCCCTTCAATGCGAGGGGAATCAGGATATATTCCACCACTCTGGCCAAGAGCGGGTTGGCGTACTTCACTCTGGCGTTCTCTCAGACAGAAAACACAGAATAAGAAACTTGCAGTTTCTTCACGAAGTTTTCCATACTATTATATATTGTATTATTGTATAGTCATAAATATTTCTTGTGTTGTAATTTCATATATATTTTATGCATTTTTACTCATCAATTTTTTATATTTAATTTACTAATAACAAAAAGAACCTTTAGTTTTATTAGTTTTATTTTTAACTTCAACTTAAACTAAGAAAAAACATTTAATATTTGTTTCATGCAAATATGTAGTTTTAGACAGCTATTTTCTCAAAAGAACTACAAAATACACTTACAGAGAAAATACATAAATAACATAACAATTAATATCGTGTCGTCGGACAAATAATTTAATAACTTATTTATTATTGAGTTAGTTTATCTACTTAAAATTATATAAACACTTATATCGCAGGAAACAGGAAAAAACTTAACATGAGTAAAAATTATCTAGTTTACCATAAAAAGTCGACAAACAACTTAATAAGACCACATACTAGAATTATGATGTAATGGTATAATAAAAACTAATATGCTAATGCCTCGCAGTCTACAGATAAGAGCAAGATGAGTGCCGACAGTGACATATAATAATGCTTCATTTAATATCTTCATTTACGTATCTTATTCTTTAACGTTATAATGGGTCTCCTTCAAGGGTACAAGATCACTTGAATTTAACTCGTTAACTTTCTCTAGTCTAATTTCTGCGGATATTTTTACATAGTTTAGAATAAATTTATGCAATATTATTAGTCTTTATCTTATAAAATTCTTATATACAGTGAATTCTTTGCTTATTGCCGCTCCTACTTTTTATTTTATTGACCTTTGTATAGCAGTTCATATAAAGGTGTATTATTATCGTATATAATACCAACATTTTCCAAATATAATAGCTGTAACATACGAACAGACGGATGGATATTCGTATATATAGACGGAAATGATGAAAATATAAGGGTTCCGTTTTTGGCTTCGGAAACCTAAAAACATGTAAGAGTTGAGAACATCCAAACAATATGAAAGTTTTCAATGTTGATGACATATTACAACGTCATGTAACCGTAATAACTTCCATTCTATTTTCTTGGCTTCAAAACGTTCCAGTTGAGCACAGATTACACCATAAAAAATTAATTGATTTTATATATAATTGTAACATAAAAACCATGTTGAATTTTGTAGTTGTACTATTTATTATTTATTTATTTATAGCAAAAAGCTTAATTCATACTATATATCAATAAAGTTATCCTTTCTAAGCATAAATATTATTATATACGTACTAAGAAAGATTGAAATAAATGTTTAGAAGGATGACGACAATATCGCTTTTAGCAAGTTGTACTTTATAAAAAAAACGTTTTGTTGAAAAATCTTTTTAGATACGCTTTGGAGGAACAGAATCCAAAAGGTGTCAAGGGATGTGTCACTCGTCGCGCCAAAGAGTCGCGCCGTCGTGTCGCCTCTCCCGTCGGGAGCTAACCACCCTACAATATTCCACATGAGTTTACTGACCTAGGCGTGCTTCTGAGCTTAATAATATAATTATTACCTTTTATATTAAACAATATTTATTGACATTACTAAAATGATATTTCTGACATTAAAATTGAACTATTATATATTTTTTTTATTTATTATACATCATATTTGTGCTCGGGTTCGTCCCTAGCTTGCTTCCCCATACAAACTTTCATCCCCATTCTCACCACCTTAAGGGATGATTTCCGGGATAAAAACTATTTCACTCCCTCACTTTCCATATCATGAGATTTAAAAAAATATATTTTAGTTAAAAAAATTTATTAATTTTCTTTTATCCTGACTATAACCAACAAAAAAAATTATTCAATTTGGTGCATTCGATCGGTTGTTATGCGCGTACAGATATTTCGGTGATTCATTTTTATTTATTTAAATAGATTAACGAAATAAAATTATTTATTAAATATTACATCATTTGTTGAGATTTGCTCCTTCTCTATTCGTAAAGCCCATTTTAGTACAA